GGGACTCCAGGATCATGACCTGAGCCGAAGGCAGTCGCTTAACCAACTGAGCCACCCAGGCGCCCTGCATGTGTATTTATTTAGGAAGGACATACACTTATTATGTCCGTGTTATGCATCGATGACTTACTGTACTAATAGATCAGGTCTGTTATAAAATACCCCTCCCCCAAACTGACATATATTTTTTTTGAAGGTTGATATAAAACATAAATATAAAATTTGCATCTTTTCTCCCCACTCTCCATCATCTGGTGCAATGCATTTCGGGAGCCCCTGCTGTCACAGAAATCAAGCACCCTCCAAGTGGGAACCCTCCAGGTGGGGACGAGGGTGGTCCGACAGATGCCACCGGAAATTCTTTTGAAAAGTGGAGGATCCTTTGATTTGGCAAATGAACTAAATGATCTGTGTTGATAATGTGTCAATAGGTGATGGCTGAAAAGTTTTGGTAAATGGGTTCATGCCCCCTCTCTGGATGGAAACAAGCGGAGTGTTCGTTATTCGCCCAATCCCATGCACTGGGGTCTCCTGGGAGCTCGTTCAAAAAGGCAGAATTTCAGGCCCCACCCCAGACCCCCCGAATCAGAATCAAGGGGTTGTGTGTATGTTACAGTTTGTGAAGCATTGTTCTAGGCAGGGGTAGGCAAACTTTTTTTTTAAATTCTATTTTTAAATAAAAATTGTATATATCTAAGGTATGCAACATGATGATTCAATATACCCGTGCACAGTGAAATGCTCCTACAGTCACACTGATTAACGTAGCATCTCCTCACACGGTTACATTCTTTTTGGTGATGAGAGCACCTGAAATCTACTCTCTTTGCAAATTTCAGTATTCAGTCCAGTATCATTTTCTGTATTCATTATGCCGCGCATTAGCTCTCTAGACTCATTCGTTCATCCTACTTTATTGTAACTTAAACTTCTGTAGAGCCAGATAGCAAGTATTTTAGGCTTTGCTGGCCACACGGACTCAGGCACAACTACTCAACTCTGCCACAGACTATAGGAATGGACCTGGCTGGCTTCCAATAAAACTTCATTTACAAAAATAAGCAGCAGGCTGGATTTGGTCCATGGGTCCAAGTTTGCCAAACCCTGCTTTAGACCTCAAGTTTACTGACCAGAAAGTAGGTCATTTCCTTACTTAACAAATCAATCTTGTCATTTGGAGGTTGTAGAGGTCTCTTCGTAACATAGTATATACATTTTCTGTCTTCCTAAAGTCGTATTTATTGTGTGATGGCATTACCCGCCCTCCCACCCCCAGATACACCTCCACACACACTGTGCTCATGGTGGTCTGGGGATTCAGACCACCTCCTCTCCCCTCCTTTCCCCTCCCCTCCCCTCCTCTCCCACCTCTCCTCTATCATCTATCTATCTATCTATATCTATCTATCATCTATCATCTCCGTTAGTTTCTTAGCTTTTAAAAAAAATGCTCTTTATTTACCAATAAAACAAAGTCCCCTGCGCCCTCACCACCGTTAAAAAAGGGACAGTGGAGGCGAGTTCATTTCACGGCTTTCCCCTTCAGGCATCTGCTGCAGTAGGACCACATACTGTTATGTAATCCCATAAGCCTCAGTTTCCTCATCTGCAAAATGGGAACAAATCAGTTCTTGCCTCACACAAGTGCTTAGAACAGTGCTTGACATGGTAAGTGCTTAATATACATTAGCTACCATTAGATCATGATGCAACCTTCGAAAATACCGTACAGGAAGGTATATGGTTGAGCGGTAAAACCAACTCCCAAAGGATAACCCTGGCCAACCTTGAGGGCAATGCTGTCAGTTTTTTTTTCTAGGCATTGATTTTAGTTTTTCCATAGTGATGATCATTCCTGAGTTATTTATTTATTTTTTTTAAACATTTTTTATTTATTTATTTGAGAGAGGGACAAAGAAAGTGAGAGAGAGCACAAGTGGGGTGAGGGGCAGAGGGAGAAACAGACTCCCCGCTGAGCAGGGAGCCCGATGCGGGGCTCGATCCCAGGACCCTGGGATCATGACCTGAGCCGAAGGCAGACGCTTAACGACTGAGCCACCCAGGCGCCCCTGTGTTATTTATTTTTTTTTAAGACTTTATTTTTAAAAAAGATTTGAGAGAGAGAGAGCATGTGTGCGCACCGGGGTGGGAGGGGGCAGAGGGAGAGAATCTTCAAGCACACTCCCCACTGAGCACAGAGCCTGATAAGGGGCTTAATCCCACCACCCTGAGAGCATGACCTGAGCCAAAATCAAGAGTCGGACACCTAACCGATGGAGCCACCTGGGCGCCCCTGAGATTTTATTTTTTCAGTAATCTCTACATCCAACACGGGGCTTGAACTCACAACCCCGAGATCAAGAGTCGCATGCTCTACCGACTGAGCCAGCGAGGTGCCCCAATCCCTGAGTTACTTTCAATGGTCTTTTTGAACACTGAAAAGGGCAGGTAGCCCAGTGACCGTGGCAGGCCGCTCAGAAAGGAAAGGAGTCCTTCTTTCCTCCCCTGCTGTGATTCCCAGTGTTTTCAAAGTGAAATATCAGAGCTCCAAACAGCTGTTCCTGGCGCCCTGGGACTCAGCATGTCTGAGCTGGGCTGGCAGAAGTCATAGGTTCTGTCAACTCCCAGGGGTGGACTGAAATCCTGAGGGGCTCTGGAGTCCCAAGAGACAAGAGGACTCAGGACTGGCTGTGGGAAAACAGATTCGGCTTTCAAACTTCACCCCACCGCTCCCACCCCACCTCCTCCCTTTGAACTTGGGTCCCCACACTCCAAAGAGGGTGAGTAGGTGGCCGGTGAATCTCCTTTCCCATCTTCCAGCTGAGGAGGAGGAGGAGGACGCTAATGGGTAGCTCACGACAGGGCACCTTGAGCCCAAGTTTCAATAGAAACCAAGTCATTCCTTCACCTTTCAACACATTTCCCTAGTCTCCTGACAAACTATCTCCTTGGAGACGTGGACAGCTCGGACATCCATCCTACAACTGTCCCCTCTGGCCAACCAGCAAACATCGCCTGATGTGTGCTTCGCAGGAACAGTCTGCAAGTACATGTGGAGATGGTGCGGCGATCATCCAGGCTAATCCTCAAATGAACCGTGCGGGCTAACAACAGTCACCCTATTTTCAGAGAGGAGAGTCCAGCGAGCGTAGTTAACCACACCGGGAATTCATGGTCTCGCAGTGCTGGAGGCCAGAGGTCCAAAATCAAGGTGTCCGCAGGGTTGGCTCCTTCTGAGGGCCGTGAGGGACGGATCTACAACCTTCTGTCTCTGCCCATCATCTTCCCTCTGTGTGTGTCTGTCTCTGGGTCCTAATCTCTGACCCCCCCCCACACTTTTTTTTATAAGGACACCGGTCATACTGGATTAGGGCCCAGTCAATGGCCTCAGTTCAACTTGACTACCTCTGTAAAGACCCGATCTCCAAAGAGGTCACACTCTGAGGTACTGGGGTCAGGCTGCCATCTTTTTTGAGGGGGCCACAATCCAGCCCATAACAGGCTCTCGAGTCCGACGGGCCTGAGCTGGTATCCTACTCTACCACTTACTGGCCACTTAATCTCATTAAGCCCTGGCTTCCTCCTTCGCAAAAGGGAATTAAGAACATCTTCCGTGTGGGTTTCCGCATGAGGACTACGTGAGATATTTGGCATTTCCCGTGGTGCTGAGTCAGCCCTCTTGTTATTACTGATGAGGGAGGCGGATGCCGGGGATGCTCCACCTCAGAGCACACTCTCAGGCCCTCTGACTTTCCCTGTGGCTGCAGCGCATGCAGACCTCACGCTCGGCCGAGAACATGGTCCCCCACCTGCCACCCCGTTCTCTGCCTGGGGATTTCTTGGTGCTACTGAAGCTTGCTCAGCCCGCACATGACAGTCCTAAAGGGCCAAACATTTTACGTCTCCGGGGGCAACCCTCAGGCCCTGAGGGATAAGCGTCGGGAGTTACCCCAGCTTCCCCATCATGATCACTGTCAAGTGTATTCTCCGGGGTCCCCAGCATGACTGCGCCCCAGCTGCCCACAGTGCTAGTCAAGGCAGCCTTCATCTGCTTTTCTCCTTTCTCTGACTTGTTCTTCCATTTAATGCTTCCTGGCGTCCCCTCCCCAGTAAACAAGCAGCACCCAAGTCCTTGCCTCAAGGTCTGCTTTTGAGGTACCCCTAACTAAGATAACGAGGAGACCATAGCTCAGAGAAGTTATATGGCTTGTGCAAGGATACACAATTAGAGAGAGGTGAGTCCATGATTTGAACCATGGTTTCTTTGGTTCCAAAGCCCATGGGCTCAGTCACTGGTAGTCCCTCCTCTCTAGTGCCCAATGCCTGCTATGTTCCCGTCCTCCTCATGCTCTTTGTTCTCTCATGGTTTTTTTGTTTTGTTTTTTTTTAAAGATTCTATTTATTTAGTTGACACAGAGAGACAGAGAGAGAGAGACAGCAGGGGGAAGGAGTGGGGGGGCAGGGGAGAAGCAGGCTCCCTGCTCAGCAGGGAGCCCGACGTGGGGCTCGATCCCAGGACCCCGGAACCAGGACCCGAGCCGAAGGCAGACGCTTAACCGACTGAGCCACCCAGGTGCCCCTGTTCTCTCATGCGTTTATCCTCTTCTGGACAACCACGATAAGGAAGTCATTTTGTAGTCTCTTTTTTTCTCTTGAGAAACTTAACCTAACCTTGCCCTCCTGCCTTCCCCCTTGACCTCCCTGCCACGTCAGGGCTCTGAGTCATTGGGATGGTTTGTTACGCAGCAGCGGTAACCGCAACACTTTGCACTCTTCATGCCCCGTGTTCATGAAGAAAAAGATAACTCAAATGCATGGCACAAATAAATAATCTTTAATTTCAATAAATAGCTCCCCATTATGCCAGACAAGAGGCTGTGGGAAAGATACAGTAGCATCCAACAGGGAGAGATCTATCCTAACTACACTAATTCCTTAGCATGAGAAAAATGACTTTGGTTCACACACAAACACAGAGAGATGCTCAGAGTATGACAAGGAAGGAGTCCTCTTGGACGGGAGGGCAGTGGCCATTTTAATCCACGTAACTGTCCTTTGCAAGTCTTTCGTGTGCCACAATCACCATGAATCGTCAAAAAAGGTTACTTTTGCTCTATCATATTCTATTTACTTGACATACGCACATGCTGTTACTGAAGGTGGGGTCATGACAGACAGGAGGACACTGGGTGAAATTTCACTGGGAGGGGCAGAGAGAAGGGAGTGCTCAGGACTGAGGTCCTGCCGACCACCTTGCTCACCAGGAGGACACACAGGGACACACACGTGTTCACCTGTGAGGGCACACACGAAAACATTCCCCATGGGGGGTCCTTAGGAATAAGCTAACACAAGGACAAATTCAGTTAAGCCAGGGAAGTTTCTTACACTGGAATATTTTTTGAGGCCATTTGGTTTCTCCAAATAGTCTAATCTATCACGTCCACTAAAGAGAAGACAAAGTACTTACACTTTTGGGGGAAGGTATCAGGTCTGAAGAACCCCCCCAGGGAACAGCAGCCCGTTCAGAAGCCACCCAATCAGCAGGTGTGCCTTTTGGGTGTGGGGGTCGGGCCTCCCACACACTGGCCAAGCTCTTGGAGAATTTCATCTTGATGGAGGCTGGCACCCTTGGGGAGGCCCCTTCTCTGGCCTGAGGGTTGAAAGTGCATTTGGGGGTAGGGGTATCAACAGGAGCAAGCACTGCCAGTAAGTCTCACAGCAGAGCCCACTCAGCTCGTGACGTATAGATGGGGTTTCTAGAAAGTTCTCAGGCTTTGCCCACTGAGGGCAACCATTCTGTGTGCAATAGTCAGCTTCCTCTCAGTTCTGAGAGGATTTAGTGTGTGTGTGTATTTGAGTGTGTGTGTGTGCGTGTGTTGTGCGGATGTAATAGGCATGTGACACGTTTTCTGTCTGTCTGAAATTTTCCTCCTCTTTTTTTAAACAAATGAAAGCTGCTTTTCCCACAGCTCTCAGGTCACCTCCAGCGAGGCAGGAGACACGCGGTCACACTCGGCCCGGGACCTCAGGCTGTGCCACTGCTCTACGGCTGTGCGGTGGGTGTTGAGCATTCGCCGCCAGTGGTTGGATTCGGAGGGGCCCGAAGAGTACTGGCCGATGACAATCCTTCCGATGAAGTCGTTGCTGCTCTTCATGTTGTGGCCAAACACTAGGGAGCCAGAGGGGCGAGGGCGGCGGGGAGGAGGTCGGAGGAAGGAGAGAAACGGAACAGGGAGGCGGGAACAAGACAGAGGCTGTTAGTCTACACGTTCCTCAACTGCAGGCACGGGCCCCTTGCTTTTGGGACATCATCTGTTTCTTTTAATGGTAAGAACGCCCCACTTCCCTCATCTCATCTGCCCGTGAGTCCCTTCACGCCAGGTATACCAGGTGGCCGGCTGTTCCTCACCATGCCAGGCATGTTCCCGCCTCCTGGCCTCCGCACCGGCTGGTCCTTCTGCCAGATAGCGGCGTCCCCTATAATAGGCAACTTTAAACTCACAGCCATTGCCCTACCACGCTGTGTACAGAGCACTATAGGTGGGTAGGTCTAGGGGGACAGTCAGCTATCACTGAAGTCTGGTTGAGTAGTTAACCCAGGGTTACTCAATAGCAGCACTGCTGACGTTCTTTGTCATGGGGGCTGTCCTGTGCAGGATTTGAGCAGCACCGCAGGCTTCTATGCACTCGACGCCAAGAGCACCACCCTCACCAGCTGTCACGATCCAAAATGTCTCCAGACGGGGCCCAATGTCCCCTGAAAGGTCAGTTCATGCTGGAGAAGAGCCACTAGGTTAAGCCGTGGGCCATGGGCCAGATATCCTCGGTGACCATTAGGCTAGCTCTGGGACGCCGAGACAAGGGAAGGAATCTCTCTGAGACTCAGTTTCCTCCTAGGTTAAAGAGGAATCTTGATAGTGCTTTACCTCATCTGTCATTGTGAGGTTTTGAAGAGAGAACGTGTGTAATGTCTCAGCCCACAGTACCTAGATAAGCACTCAGTGAAGGTTATACTGCTATTTTGAGCCCAAATCTCTGTCTGTGGAGCTTTTATAAAAGAGGCTTTATGTTTCCTCTGTTCCAGGCAATGGAGGCAAGCTTCCTGAGAGAAACGGCCATGGCAATTTCTTCTACCCCTTGTTGTACTGCGTGTCTCTTTGGAAGGCTTCTCTGTTAATTCCAATGCAAGCTTAATTTGTGTCTTTCAAGCCTAATGAGATGGTTAGCTTGATTTATCTTCCCAGCCAAGTTCTGCCTAATTCTTTATCTGTGTGTGGGTAGTCCGGGCATGTCATCTCACGAACGGGAAAGCAGGCTGCATCTGGGTTATAAATGAAGGACTGCAGAATGGGAAATATCACAGATTCACCCAGCATGAGCCGAGCAAAAGCGGGCTGGATCCCAGGAGGGATGCCGATTATCAAATAAACCAGCTAAAATATGCAGCCAAAAACAGAACTTGAATGCTAATGAGCCTCCGTTCTCCCCTGTGGGGTTCACATCAAGAATTCTAAATGATAAAAATTGGAGGGGGGGGGCGCGGAACGGGAAGAAAAAAAGAAAAGTGGAAAAACAAAAACAAAACCCCATCCATTGTCTAAATACCAAAAAGACCCAGGGTGAACAGGCTAGCCTGTACCAGTCAAGTCCAATACCACTCCAGTGTCCAGTACCTGTCAGCAATGTGGACAAAAATTGGACCCTGTATATTTTTTGTAACTTGGTAAAGTGTTCAGGACACACAGGGGGATCTTGTTTACGTGAAGATCCCTTACAGAAGGGAAAAATTAGGACAGGAATCTTTGCTTAATAAAGGACATTACTAAGGAGCTCTCTGAGGCATTTGAAGTTTTTTTTTTTTTTAAAGATTTTATTTATTTATTTGTCAGAGAGAGAGGGAGAGAGAGAGAGCACAAGCAGGGAGAACGGCAGGCAGAGGAAGACGGGGAGGGAGAAGCAGGATCCCCACGGAGCAGGGAGCCCAATGCAGCACTTGATCCCAGGACCCTGGGATCATGACCTGGGCCGAAGGCAGACACTCAACCGACTGAGCTACCCAGGCATCCCTTGAAGTTTTTTTTTTTTTGAAAAGGTAACACTCAGGTTTGTTTTGAACCACGCCTAGTGGGCAGTGTAAGGTTTGATCTCACCAAATGAAAACAAGTTACCAGAGTCCCCTTCTCTGTGGGCCTTGGTAAAGCAAGATACTAACAGGAGGCCATTTCAGGCTCTATTTGGTTTTCTTCCTTGGGGGCAAAATGTTCTATCTTCCTATACCTCTCCAAAGCTCAAGAATGAAAATGCAGAAACATCCTAGTAGATGAATGTAGGTTTCCCTTGGGAAAAGGTTTTTTTTTTTTTAAAGATTTTATTTATTTATTTGAGAGAGAGAATGAGATAGAGAGAGCATGAGAGTGGGGAGGGTCAGGGGGAGAAGCAGACTCCCTGCTGAGCAGGGAGCCCGATGTGGGACTCGATCCCAGGACTCCAGGATCATGACCTGAGCCGAAGGCAGTCGCTTAACCAACTGAGCCACCCAGGCGCCCGGGAAAAGGTTTTAAGAAAGGAAATCTCAAACACTCTCATGTATTGCTTGTGAAAGGGGAAGCTGGTTCAACTTTTAGGAGAGGTTCACAGTATGTACTCGAAATAAAAATGTTGTTAACTTGTTTTTTGTTGTTGTTTTTATTTTATTTATTTGACAGAGAGAGACACAGCGAGAGAGGGAACACAAGCAGGGGGAGTGGGAGAGGGAGAAGCAGGCTTCCCGCTGAGCAGGGAGCCCGATGTGGGGCTCTATTCCAGGACCCTGGGATCATGACCTGAGCTGAAGGCAGACGCTTAACGACTGAGCCGCCCAGGCGCCCCAAAAATGTTGTAACTTGTGATCCAGCAATTCTATTTCTAGGAATTTATCCCATAGAATTATCTGCACAAATGGACAAAGATATACATACAAGGATATTCTCTGGATATTGGATAATACCTGGGTTATTAGAGCCTCTAAGCCAAATCGGGCCCGCCACCTGTGTTTTGTAAATAAAGTTTTACTGGAACCCGGTCAAACCCGTTTGTTTACACAATGCCTGTGACTGCTAGTGCACTACAGAAGCAGAGCTGAATAGCTGCAGAAGAGACTGTGTGGCCCACAAAGCTGAAACTATTTCCTATCTGGTCCTTTGCAGAAAAGTTTGCCAATTCCTGCTCTAGAATAGAACATTGTGAGAATGAAAAATGTAAATAACAAAAAAACGTCCATGAAGAAGTGTACCTGAGGCTGGGGTGCCCTGTCCACCTCCCCAGCCCACCCTAGAGGCTACCCCCAGCTCTCAAGCACCCGGAGCCCTCTGCCGGGGCCACGCCAGTCTATGCTAACGATGACTTATGGTCGAGTCCTTGGGCCACTCTATGAATAGCAGTTTGACCTCTGCAGGGGCTGGAGACTAGGGTCAGCCACTTGGACGCCTACAGGACTGATCGCCTGATCAATATCCCAGACACCAAGGCTTGCGTGAACTTTTCTGGTTGGCGCCCTTTCGAGTGTGTGTCTCCCCACATCATTCCTGGGACAATGAAGTGCTGTCCTCACAACTCCACTGGGAGAGGGCAACTGGAAACTCATATCTGTTCTCGCCTGGACTCTGCCTTGTGTGCCTCTTTCCTTTGCTGATTTTGGTCTGTTTCCTTTTTCTGTAATAAACTGTAACCATGAGTATAATAGCTTTGCTAAGTCTGTGAGTCCTTCCAGCGAATCACTTAACTTGATGGTCTTGGGGATCTTCCAAGCTGCAGTTACCCACTCATCAAGTATCCCTGATTGGCTTGCCTCCCTTTTCCACTCTCTTATCAGTACTTCCTGGGGTCACCTCCTTAGTAGCCTATCTGAACCCAAGTTATTGTCTTAGGATCAGCTTTGGGGAGCATCCAGACAAAGACTGGCGGAGACTAATTAAATCATTGCTGATGTAATAATGTCATGGAAACCAACATTGCTGTAAAATGAGATAGACCTATATATATAAAATAGAAACATCTCCAAGACATATTGCTAGGAGACAAAAGCAAGTTGCAAAATAGTATATGTAAACACAATCTCTTTTTTGTTAAAAAAAAAAAAAAGTTAATATATAGAATAGAAAACAATCCGGAGGAATTTCATCAAACTGTTGAGAGTGGCTCTCTCCGGGGGGCGGGGTGGGGGGGAGACAGGGAACTTTCTGCATTCTGTATTATGTAAGTATGGTTTGCACTTCTTACAGTACATATTGTTTTGGAAAGAAAACAGGGGCGCCTGGGTGGCTCAGTCGGTTAAGCGACTGCCTTTGGCTCAGGTCATGATCCCAGGGTCCTGGGATCAAGCCCCATGTCAGGCTCCCTGCTCAGCAGGGAGTCTGCTTCTCCCTCTCCCTCTGCTGCTCCCCCTGCTTGTGCTCTCCTGCTCTCTGTCAAATAAAATCTTAAAAAAACAAAATAAAAAAACAAAACAAAGTTGCCATTACAGAATCCACATCTAAATCGCCGGAAGGCAAAGAAGACTAAAAGGCGGTCTAATATCCTACGCTCCCTTTCCCAGTTTGCAAAGTTCCTTGGTGTGGTGAATCACTTGGCCCTTGCAAGGTAGGTGCTCCTAAGTGATTCAGCCTTTCTGATGGAAAGCAGTCACTGCTGTGGCCATCTGAGTTAATTGGCAGGCTTTGACATTTGCAAATCACTTGGTAAAGTTATGGCAATCTTAACAGTCTTTTAAAAATCGAACATTTAAAATGCAAGTTATAACAAAGCCAGAGCTGAAGAAAACTAATGACTTCTATGATAAAAGCTGCCTGGGAGAATATCAAGATTTTCTATCACTGTAAATTCTAGGGAGCATGTTGTTGGAGAAATGGGGAATTAAGACTGGATATCTATAGAATCCAGAAAGGGGCTCAGAGACAGAGGGCCAGATACCCAAAGCCCTCCATTTTACAGATAAGGAAACCAAGTCACTGAGCTAGTTGGTGATACAACTTGAAGTATTTGCAGCAAAAACCCTGCAAAGGAAGCCAATTCTCTGTAACTAGATCCCCACTTTCCTCCTCCTTAGAAACAATCACAATTAGAAATTTTGTCGTGAGGCATCCCCAAATATCCCTCCTGGTTGTTACGGGGGACTCATTCTACTGCGAGTCC